TTAAGAGTGTGGTCTCGAGTTGCATCCATTTACCTTTTTTAAAAATTTTAAACTCCAACAAGACCACACAGAACAAGGGTAACCAAGACAATGCAGCAAAATCGGTACAGAACTTCAGAGCAGGATGCCAGGAAAACAATAATAGTATTTCTTGTTATCTTCCCAATAGTTGTCCTTTCCATCAGGTATAGCAAAATCAAACCCAAAACAAAACACTATAAAACCAATGAAAGTATTGAGTAAAGCAAAACAATTAATCAGACCAAAGCAAAAAAAAAAAAAAATGAAAACAGTATTAGACTTCAAAGGCAAGACAGAAGGAAATCCCCCATATTTGCTGTATTGCATCCTGTTACCCTCCCCAGAAAAGCTCCGAGCACTGGCCCTAGGCCTGAAAAATCAACTAAAGAATACAAGCATTTAGGAGAAAAGTAGAAAACCAATGGCAGAAAAGTAGCATGGCAGAAATGAGACAGAGAAGGTTGGTTATACTCTCTAACATAGGTGGCCTTGATACACTAAAAAAGAAAAAGAATCAGGCAGAGTAGAGCAAGAGGTAGGGTCCACCAAGATACTCTGTATAGGAAATATAATTAAACTGAAAAAGGGTTTATGGACTGAAAATCAGATATGAGAAAACAATGCTCTATGTGACATGAAACCAGAGAGAAATAGGGGCAACTTGATCAGCACCTGCAGATAGGTTGGAAAGATAGGAAACTTATGTGCAGTAGAGAACTACTTAGCTATAATGAAGGAAAACCTTTAGGCTAAGGTTCAGAACCACTTAGGTAAATAGCAGGTTGCCCACCCTCAATCTAAAAACTGTTGGAGTTGGTGAGACCCAAAATGTGCAACACCCTTTGAGAGTGAAAGGGGAGGATCAGTCTTTAAAATGAAGGCAGAGGATATTGTTAACAGTGTATCAGGATTTAAAACCCACATTGATGACACTGCTCTATTTTGATAGATTATATTCTGTTCCAGTTGGTCTACTTGTACTAAATACAAGGGCACTGACAACTATCCCAAAAATAGCACAACATAGTGCGGTAATAATCCTTAATTTCCTACTAACTTAATGTGAAGCCATGTATAACTTAAACTGATTTATCATGACTGATCTTAATTGAATCTGGTTGTTAGATTGCTGTTTTGCACTGACAGATTTTATTCAAATCTGTTATGATTGATATTATCAAGTCTGAGAGTATAGGCAACTACACTGAAGATGAAAAGATTCACTAGGATACCCACTCTGTTTGATTATTACCTGCTTTTGAAGTTTTACACAGTGTCATGGTTTATGTCTGTGGCCCCCAGGTCTCATGAGTTTGCATTGTGCATTTGTGATGGTTCATTGTCTAGTGCTTAGATTAATGGTGTCAGTGTTCCACCCACGTAGGAATGGAGCCAGGATGTGATGTAATGGCAGGAACAAGGCGTGTCTTGCTCTCTTTCCTGGTTCCTGCTTGCTGTTTGCAGTCACCATGAACTGTGGCCCAGCCATGCCACTTGCCTTGGAGCCAACTGAGTGTGGACTGAAACCTCCAAAAACTGTAAGAAATAAACCTTTCCTTTCCCAACTAGGACTTCAAGTATTTTGTCTCAGCAATGATTAAAAAGTAACTAAGAGAGAATTTGGTACTGAGGAGTGGGGTCGTTTGCTGTGACTATACCTGACCATGTTTTTTGAGAGGCTTTGGAAATGGCTTGTGGACAGAGTTTGGAAAGGTTCGGACATGTTGCCTGGATGCATAGAGCTGGAACAGCTTAGGCTGTTTTGTAGAGGAGATTCTGGTCAGAGCTTAGGAGAACAGAAGGCTGATAAAAAGCCTCATGGTAAGGACCAGGCTTGGGAGGTTTCTGCTGGGAAGAAGGACTGCATTGGTTGTTGGACTCCCCATGATTTACTGTGCCTGCCTGCCATGCCTGCTGTGCTCAGTGAAGAGTCTCATAAGACTCATCTAACAGGGAGGGTGCAGAACCTGCTGAGGTTTTCCTCTCAGAAAAGACCACCTGATTTTCTGGGCTACAGGACACATCAGGGCCAGACCTGATGCTCAGAAGCAACCTTGTCTAATCCTGGGAAGTGAAGAGACTGCATCCTGGAAATTCTCCTGCAAAATCATCATCCTCACCTTCCTACAGTCCACCCTCCTGTGACCTCAGGCTTGAGAATTGTTATAACATGCAATGCCTCTTTGACCCACAATGAAAGCCATGAAAGGTCCCCAGGCTCTCCTAAGTGTTTTCTGTTGAATTCTTCCAGGCATTGATCTTCTGGATTTGAGGACCGGCATCATGAAAAACTGAAACTAATCAGTGAATGGGAGGCTACTTCATTGCCTTTCCAAAGCCAGGCATTGGCAGCCTCCCTTTAGTACTCTCCAGCTTCATGCCACCTCTAAGAAAATGTGGCATCATAGGGAAGAGGGCTCTTGAGGTGTCTGGAAGGACCCCTGACTGCAGTAATCACAGACAATTACTCTACTTTGTAATAAAGGAGATTGCACTGTCCACAGACAGCTTGGAAATCTTGTAAACAGAGTAGCATGCTAGCTGGATTTGAAGATTTTTGGCACCCTGTAGGACACGCAGAGTAAAACATTGCTTGGTGTCCTGATTCACACTAATATTGAGGTCAAGTATACTCATAAGAAAGTCATAACGCTTGTCTTTTTGATTCCAGTAGTTTTCAGATCCAAAATTTACGTAATTTTTTCAGTACTGTGTTACTCTTAGGGATTTCAATATTTTTATTTCTGTAAATGAAAATAAGAGGTCTTAAGACCCTTATTACTAAAATACTTAAGAATGACATAAGGTGGGATTGCCAGTTTGTTAACTGTAACTCAATACACCTATTGATAAAGCACACCTGAATAGCAACAAACTGTGGAACAGCATTGTAAGAAGACATCTGTGCAAAGCATGATTGAGATTCCAGCTCAGAAAACAGGAAGTCTCAGAATTTCACCTATGTAGCACACCAGACTACAAGAACCATGCCAACAGAGGACATGGAAAATGGCTTAAAATAACATCTTTCTGAGGGCAGATAGTCTGAGCCAAAGGGGAAAAGTATGTGGTTTTCACATTCTCTAAGGAGGAGGTGAGGTCACCAAACAGCTATGGAAAGAATCTACTAAGAACACCCATGGTGAATTAGGAGATAGTGCTGGGTTGACAGTTATGGAAGGTGTAATACACATCTATCCATCAAAATATAGTGCCTATGAAATAATGCTTTCAAATGCATGGAAAAGAAAAGAAGACAGAGCATAGAGACAGAACATAGATAGATAAATAGGTAGATAGGTAGACAGACAGATAGATAGATAGACAGAGATTGTTAGAGCAGAAAATGCCCAGAGTTTAGGACATGAAGAAGATTCAGAGTTCAGGTAGCTGACACTTTCCTTTCTGAAGGCCAGAGAGGAGAGAACAACAGAAGGAGAAAACATGCCATCCTAGGTGGGGGTTATTTGAGGATTCAGCAGACCAAATATGAGAACAAGTATGTGAAGAAAGTGTGGCCGATGCTGGGAAAGCATCTCCCCATCAAATGGATAAAGAGTAAGCCAGCCCAAGTCTCCAGGAGAAAAGAGATCAGTGATGCACCCCACCCAGGGAAATGAAGAGAACAGAAAGTCTCATCCTTCAGCTGGCACTGGCAGGGCCCTCAGAAGGTCTTGCCTGTGTCCTGTAAAAACATTTCTCTGCTACAAAGCCCTGTTTAGAATCCCTGCAGTTCATCAAAAAGCAAGGCTTCAATGTCAAACCTTTACCAACTCACCAAACTTTTCAGAGCACAGCTCATGGATCCCTAGCAGTGTAGGAGATTTCAGCTGTCAAGAATAAGAATCTAAGGACACATCCAGCCAGAAACTATCAGAGACACAAAGCAGCAAGAAAGCACAACTCTGCTGAGTAAAGGAATTCTGAATAAAGGTATCCAGGTAGGAAGAGCGGGGAAAACTCTGGCCTTTATTTACACATGGTTGCCTATGAAGAAAATGTAGTAAAACTGTGCAGCTTAGACACAGTGTGAGCTCTGCATGTTTGCAGGAAATGCTTCCAGTATATTTTGCCTAGCTGCTGTAAGGACATGTGAAAATTAAGAATGAGGAGTTTAATTCTCCCTTTAAAAAGACACTGCCTGTTATTAAAGCACTTACCTAAGAGAACTTGTAAGTTTTTTCTCTGACTCTGAAAGGCATTTAAACTTTTCTGAAAGCTAAAAGAAGGGAGCAGGCCTCTTGACACCCTCAAGACCATGGAAGGTCCTTATTAAGGCCATCTCTTTGAAATGCAAACAGCAGCAGAAATAGTGGAAATAACGCCTCCACCCTTCATTTCAGTTAGTGTTGGGGAATAGAAACCTAGTATTGGGGGCTCCTTCCCCTATGTGGCTAAAGTACCTCCAGTCATAAAAGATGTGTGATGTGCATGCATGAACTCCCTTAAAGAGTGTAAACATTAAGCAGATGAATACTTCTGGGACTGCAGTAATTACTAACTAAACCACCGATGTTGAAGGGAATGATACACAGGAATCTCTGTGAATCCTCATCCAAACAGGAGGGGGGGATTGAGAAGTTCAGATGTTCTATAATGTCACTGTACTGTATGTTTCTGCCTCCACTGAAAACATTTCCTCTAATATATTTAGGGACAGACCAATCTCTTGCAAATGAAAAACTGATGAGACAAATCTAATATTAGCCTTGCAAATAAAAATTGCATTTATGCAGTTGCTATTCATTTTATACATGAATTCAATTCTCAATTCTGACATCACAGTGCAAATATATTTCAAAATGCTAAGAATAGTTAATGCTGAAAGTCAAGACAATGTTTTTCATGTCCTTGCTTTCCCCAAAATATCTTCAATGACCTTGTCTACTAAAACTCCAGAATCTCTCTTCTCCCAAGAACAAATGGAAGGAAAACTGGGAGAACCATTGATAAAACCAGACTGAGACACTGAATAGAAGTTGATTTTATTTTCATCAGAACAAGCCTTCATTCACGGGAGGTCGATCCAGATCCAAATCAATTGACAGGGCACCCAAGGAATCCCTGAACTAGGAAAGTGACTGCATAGGGCTGGAGGATAGATGATGAAAACTGAATCCTCTTTTGCAGCTTAGGCTTGTCCAGAAACTATTGCTCACAGCTTTCCAGTACTGGATAAACCAGGAAAAGGAGGTCCAGCAAGTAGGAGACAGAAACTTGTAGAAGGTGTGAGTTTTCTGAAGTTATCAAGCTAAAGGAAAGAAAAAGGGAATCACAGCACCCATGCTCAGGTTCCCCCTGCAGGTCTCTCCAATGTTGAGCATATAGTTTAGAGCCCACCACTCCCCACCCCGCTCAGGCGCCAGCGGGCTCCACACAGCACGACCTCTCTGTAGACAGCAGCTGTGGATCTGCGCTGGCCCCTTGGGGCACCCTCAGCACCAGACATCTGCTGTCCCCCACACAGCCTCTCGCCTCCCACTCACATATTCAGGTCGTTGCCGCTCACTGTGATCTCTCTGTGAACGCCCCTTATCGGGGGATCAGCTTCCAAGGAAAGATGTAGGTGAACAAATTCTGCATCCTTGGCGTCGCAGAAAGGCAATGAGAGGCGGCTGGTGGACATCTGGTTAAGGCGACTGTGACTTAGGCTGCTTTCTCCCTCTGGCCACCATGGCACACTACAGAGTCTCTTTGGCCCCTGCCCCTCCTGGAACCTCGTCCCACCCAGCCCGCTTTGCCTAGCCCTTGGGGTCCCCATCTCCACTCCCGTTCCCTGTGGGCAACTCTTTACCCTCACGGCGACCCAGCCGCTCCCGGACAACCTCCAGCCCCACCCTCAGGAAGGATACAACTCATGGAGTTCTCCTGTAGAGGTATTTCTGCAGCGCTCAGGCCCCTGCCCCATGCCCTGTTCCTCGGGGCGGTCCCTGGCAGCAGCGCCTTCCACTTGTACCCATTCCCCGCCTTCAATAAGGTCGGCAGCAGCGCCTTCCACTTGTACCCAATCCCCGCCTCCAATAAGGTCGGCAGCAGCGCCTTCCACTTGTACCCAATCCCCGCCTCCAATAAGGTTGGCAGCAGCGCCTTCCACTTGTACCCAATCCCCGCCTCCAATAAGGTTGGCAGCAGCGCCTTCCACTTGTACCCATTCCCCGCCTCCAATAAGGTTGGCAGCAGCGCCTTCCACTTGTACCCAATCCCCGCCTCCAATAAGGTTGGCAGCAGCGCCTTCCACTTGTACCCAATCCCCGCCTCCAATAAGGTTGGCAGCAGCGCCTTCCACTTGTACCCATTCCCCGCCTCCAATAAGGTTGGCAGCAGCGCCTTCCACTTGTACCCAATCCCCGCCTCCAATAAGGTTGGCAGCAGCGCCTTCCACTTGTACCCATTCCCTGCCTCCAATAAGGTCAAGCTCTTCAGGACCTACTGGTGCACCTACGTCGCCCTCCTCTCCCTCAGCACCTCCCTGGACATCTGGAGCCCGCATTTCTCACAAGGCTCTGGGGGCTCCCAGCCTCCATCGAGTGCACCGCAGGCACACAGGTTAGCAGAATGCAGGGAATGCCAGGAGCCTCAGCATTCTACTCACAATGCAGCTTGTGATGCGCACAGCGCCTGCGCAGATAGACCCTCCGCTTTAGGCGCCAGCCAATAGTGGAGTCCCACTGAAACTTCCATGCCACCCACGGGCCCCTGAGAGACCCTGTGGGCCGTGCTTCAAAGGAGTGGAAGAAGTTAAGAATATGCCCCGCCAATGTATGCAACTTTGGAAGGCTATTTTAATTTAAAGGCATTTGAATCAGAGAACATGCACGTCCATTCTGACCTTTCTTCAGGTCTTAAAAGTTATAGAAGAATTTTTATTATTATTATTTTTAATTAAGGGAATTTAAAAAAAATTAGCAGGATATATTATAGTAAATTTTTTGATTTCCTATTAACTCAATTTGAAGTCCCGTGTTGCTCTCACCATCTTGTTTTGACTGATTTTACTCTATTCTGTTCTGTTTGATATTATCAATTTTGACAGTATGGGCAACTACTTGGCAGGCAGTAAGATTCACTATAATGCCCATTCTGGTTTGACTATTATCTTCTTTTGAAGTTCAGTAATGTCTCCAATGTTTAGGTTTTATTGGTCTTGTTCTGTACTGTTTTGTTCACTTTTATTATACCTGATGATATAGGCAATTCTTTTCAAAGTAGTAAGAGGCATTATGGTAACCATTGTTGATTACCTTTTGTTCTGGTTTTACATCATGTAGTATGCCCATTCTTTGTTTTGACTGACTGCTTTGTTTTGTCACATTTGGTTTTATTCTCTTCCAAAAAAAGTAGTAAGAATGGTGGCGGTAATAAAACCCAAAATGTGTAAATGTTATAGTAAAAAGGAGAGGAAAAGAAAGTGCTCTAAAGGACACAACTTCAAGTGTGTTTAGGTGTGTAAGACAGATGACCATATTACTAAGTTTCTTTGGATCATTGAACACAATTGTTTGCAGTCTCACTGTTTGAATGTCTACTTTGTATGCTTAATTTTGTAACTTGATCAACTATTTCAAAGATGACAATATGTAATCTATTAACTAGTGATTTCTTACTGTTTATTTCTTTAATTCTGTATTACTTGCACCCTTTTAGTGTTTTGCTTTTTTTTCTTAAAAAAAAAAAAAAGAAATTTCAAAGTTATATATGCCATCCTTAATGCTTAAGGAAATTTACACTTCGATTCTGATCAGAAGTCATGCCAAGGGAATCTAGTAGAGACCACGTTAAATGACTTTTATTTTTTTAACTTCCACATAGTCATGTTGACATTGTTTTACAACACTCTACATGTTCCCACATTCAGTGTACAAGGGTTGGGTCCTCATATCCTCACCAGTACTCCTGTATACATTAACATACGTTGGAAAGAATTGTGTATTTTCTCCCATTTGCATATGTCTCCATCAATGTAATTGTTGCACTAAGTTAAATACTAATGGAGGTGGAATTAAAACAATGCCTCTCTGATTGGCCAGCACAGAGCAAAGACATCAGAGGGTCTCCAGGTGATGTTAATTCCCATTGTCCCCTCATCTCTGAAGTGTCTTTGTCCTTCAAGAGCAAACCTTTTCCAGGCCATTTTGTGCTAGTTGCACAGGCTTGTTTCTCTCTAGGCCACACACATGCCTCCGGCAGGTGTCTCTTTTACTCCTCACTGTAGACTTCTGCTCTTCCTCCCCAAAATGTGCTCTCAGAACTCTCATAATTCCCCTGTCTCCCATGACTCCCCTATAGAGCTGTTCTTCATGATTATTGAGCTGGAGGAAAACTTGGCACTTAGGAAACATGACCATGACCATATCACAGGTTGAATGGTCCCCAGGTACTAGACCACAAGCCATTTGATGCTTTGAGCCTTCTGGGACCATCAAGCCACAGCATACTCTATTCTATGTCTGTGAGAGTGATAGTAGAAATCACAACTGCTAAGATTGAGGCAGCGAATATACAAGATGAGAAAGGAAAATCTACTAACCCCAGTAAACACCCCTCCCACACATAGTGATGGAAGTTTAGCAAGGGCGCGGAGGAGCCCATTAAAGGCTGAAACTAGGCATAACCTTGAGTGTTGATATAAATCAGTAAAGTTCATATTTCTCCTCCATCCAGTTTATCTTGTTTTTGTGATTTTTAAAGGAGTTTCAACTTCTCAAAAATGTGTCCGTAGTAGAAAGGGCCAGGCACAGACACAGAATGCTTGTAGTGTTGCGGCTGGACAGTGAGTTTCCCATAACACTCCAGTGGTAGTTATTTGTGCTTATGGAACTCTGTTTTTGCAAGTGATCCTCAGGATTTGACCTGTGACAGAATGTGTACATGTGGACCACACCAGCACATCTGTTGCTACTCCTTTTATAACCAAGTTTGCTCTTTAGAATCAGAGTAGGCACAGCAGCTTCTGTCACACACACACACACACACACACACGCACGCGCACACACACACACACACACACACACGGACACTCATACACATCTACCAGCAGTCCTGCTGAGATGTTGCCTTGTGGCATGTTCACATTGGCAACTCCACTGATGTCATTTCTTCACTTGCGCCCCTATACAGGGCTCTGTCACATCAATATCTTTTATATTCCATTGACAGACTTGCCATCCTTGTTTCACATACTAAATTCATGTTTCCATATGGACAGACTGAAAGATAGGCTTGCGTGTTGTATGATGGTGATACTGAACCTTTTAGAACCTGGCATGACATGTGTGCAAACGGTTCCAATCCCAACACCCATTGGTGATTCCTTGCTCTCTTTGGCATATTTTCCGTTATTCTAAGTTTAGTGAGTGTAGTGACTTCCTTTGTAGCTACCTGCATACAGTAAAGACAAAATTAAAGAAAATTGCTGCATATATTATGCCAGTAAAGGGACTGAAGGCCAAGGACCAAATTCTGACTAATCTCTACAGGTGAAAGAGAAATGTTATAGGATTCTGGTACTACAGAAAGCAAGGAGTAGTGCCAACATGAGGTCTGCCTGGCATGCCCAGAAGCAGACATCAACAGAGGAAAATACAGTTTGACCTTCAATAGCTGCGTATGCCCCACACGCACAGAAAACCTGCCTTCATCTCTAGCGACACAACCAATGATGACTGAGAAGGAGCCAACCCCAACATCCTGAAGCATTTATTTATTTGAAATAAAATTAGAGCAAAAGCCAAGGAAAGAATTCCATTGTCTGCTCAGTGTTTGCATCCTACGATTAATAATGGGACTTGCTTAAATGGACATAGAGTTGAGACTGGAATGAGAAAATTTGTATCTACAGCCTGGATTCCACCCACTTCTCTCTACAGCATGACTCAGTCAGTTTATATAAATGATTGCCCATTCCTGCCCCCCAAGTAGTAGCAATTGGCTTTATTCATTGTATGAGGTGTCAGAGATGGTACCCAAAAGTTGTCATATAATGTCAGGATATTTACCTCTCAGACTGCTGTGCTTTCTCAGCCAGAGAGATGCTGAAGACATGATGAGATCTGAGAAACAAAATTCTTACTCTGCTTATCTCATTTCTACTCTCAAAGCCTCAGAGCCTGATTGTTTCAGGCTCACAGGAGAGAGGATGATGCACAGAGGCCCTCAGAACCATGGAACTTTAGTCTTTCTTATGACCCTAACACTGGCCACCACAACCCTGAGATTCCTGCTTCAGACCTAAAAAAGGTAGGTGGAAGGGGCCGTGGGAATAAACAGCTTATATTCAGAACTGACTTATTAATCTTACCATGGTTAAGAAGTTTAGTTATCTTGGTCCCAGAATATTTGGCTGGGATGTTTAAAATCTCCCAATTAAACATTATGTGTGCGGAGTTCATGGGGATAAAGGCCTCTCCACAGATATCCTGGTCAGTGCTTAGCAGTTGTAGCCTCAAGTTCCAGTTAAGATCTTATTCCCAGATACAGTGTTATACATCCTTTTTAGGCTCTCAACCCAGCCTTGCTTATATCCCTGTAGTTACCAGTGCTAATTTATAAGTGCTGTATATTGCCTTGAGCAGTAGACAGTACCTGCTTCTTTATACTTAAGCATCCATCTGGGATTCTCAATGTACATACAAGAGGAGAAGTAAAAGGAAATTTTTTGATGTGTGCTTTGGTGCTCTGCATGAAAATCCAAGGATTCTTATCTCTGAGAATAACCTGATGTAGGAGTCAGTGATGTAGGAGTCACTATTTTTTTATAATGCAGATGGATGCAAATGTTTTCAGCTGTACTCCTGGCTGGTTCTTGACATAGACTAGAATGATGTATATAATCTCATGATGAAGTGATTGAATCACTCCTATTGATGGAATGGTGACACCTGTAAACATACTTCAATTACATTTTGAGAATGCATGATTCATTGATCAAATTGGATATTATATTATCTGTATTTTTGCCCTTTAGGAATGCAGAGTTTAGCAACTACCATCTAGTTTCACCAATCCTGATTTCTATAAACCTTAAATAATATCAACAACTTGAAAGACATTCTGTCACGTATATCTTACAGTCCCATTCACCTAAGAATTGCAGATCTCTAAACCTATATTGCATATTAGCCATTGTTCCCTTTGTTCCTTTTGAATTCCTCAAGGGTCCATGTCCAATCCCAATTGTTAATCACATTGTATAAAATTCAGAATAAGCCCCCAAAATGATCAAAATAGTAGCAATTAATTTCTAAAGCAAGAAAATTTAACTTATTGTTTCACAACTTATTGACTTATATACCAAAGTGTAGTCGCATTATAAGCATTTCATGGTGCTTTACTGCCATTCTTCCTTAGCATACAACGGAATAGGACTGAAAACACATCAGAAGGATTGTTAGTCATAATTTTGCTTGTTGCATTAGTGCTAGTGATCAGTAACACAATCAGGAGAACAGAATATCCATTTCAAAGCTTGTTGCATATGGTTTTTGAAGTGGT